GAGGTTCTTGGAGGTCCACTCTGTGGTATGGCTTGGGGGCTAGGATCGAAGAAGAGCTAGCTAGAGGGTACGGCACCGCTAATCTTCCTGATCTTTCTACTCGCCACTTAAGCTTGTAACTACTTGAGTTCGAATCTTTTTTTCCTCCCCGTGGGTTAAGCTCCTAGCTAATCTGGCCTCGTTTCAGGGAATCTACGGTAGTTTCCAGAACTCTGGTCGACGTCGGAACTCTCCAGTGCCAGTCTTGGGGAATTTCGAGGCACTGTTGAGTCTGAGCTTTGATATTACTTAAGGCTACTCGTTCAGAATATATATGGATATAGGTTATATATATATATATTTAACTCGATATATCAACTGACGAGAGACCAGTTTACGGTGGCTGTATGATTTTCGATGCTATGTTCAAGACATCCGATTTTGCCCGAGCAAAACATCATTGAAAGAGTAGGTTCTCTGTTGGATATTCGTTGCTGCTTGATGCGTTGAGCTCATCCAAGGTACACATGAGGATACTCATGCGTGACTAAGACACATTACTTCACAAGCCCTCACTCGACATCATGCACCCCAAAAAACAAAAGAAAAGGCAAGAACGGCTACATAAGCTACCTCTGTACTCTCCCTCTTGATCTATCATACAATACCGTACCTTACGTAGATGGCTGAATCGAAAGTGGGGCGCTCCCCAACTGGCTGGAGCAGCCACCCGAACGCCTCACCCCCGGGAACTGGCGGAAAGCCCAGCCATGAACGTCTCTCTCGTGCGCTATAGCCATGTAGGGAGTCCATCTTTTGGGTTCCTATGCAGTAGTGAGGAGAAGTTGAGGTGTTAATGATTTAGGTGCTGTTAATCATTTCCCCCCTCCCCGAGGCCCAGAATGCCAAGTTCTTGGCTATGCTGGTGGTCACGACCGATACCGGGTTAGGTAGCTACGTACTTGGATCACTTAGCTTGCGGGCTGGGCCTCCGAGGTCTTGGTGCACGCAGCACAATCTCTTACTGGGCATTAAACAAAGTGCAGAATCGGCAATCGAGGGTGAGCGTTGGTTAACTCTGTCGATCGACGACGCTGTGGTTGGGTTGGAACTCGACGTGGTTACATGCATCCCGGCAGTACTCTACATGTATGTATGGTATGTTTGTACCATGGTGATGCCAAACCCGAGTTTTTGGATATAAGAGAAAAATGTGGTTTTGTACTATTTCTCATGCACCACCCCTCCCTTTTTGCTTGGCGTAGTAAGTATTTACTCTGGGTTTGGTTGGATGTAGCTGGGATCCCCCCTTCCTTGGCGGGAGCTCTACTAGACACGCAGTTGGAAGATGAATGATAGGAAGGGTGTGGGTTTAAGTATTCCTTAAGCGATTAGAGTGAGAGAACTACCTCTGTTCTGTCCATTCAGGAAGCGATATCTATTTATCTTGGAACGATCCTGGATCTGCATGGGTAGACGGCTGCGAATTACGGTATGCAACACCTGAATAAAATTTCTTTTTGTCTGGGTCGTGGTTGCATCCTAGATATTGATGACCATTACAATAAGATGGGATCTATGTGGTCATTTTCTTATGCTTGCATGGGTTAGATCATATTTCCATCGTACGCGCGGAAGGTTCAAAAATTGGTTGTAACCGTTTCGGAGAAGGTAGTCATTGAATTTGGTGGCCATTTACAGATATAAATTTGGTCCATGTGTCTGGTTGCAGTGTTTTTTAGTCGCACGTATAAAAAGTGGTGGTTAACCTACAATCCGGTGAAGCCCGAGAAAGAATAACAATAATAAACAGACACCTGATGTATTGCGATCTATGCATCTATGTACGTACTTAGTCTCAGTAAGATCAGCTACTTACATCGTGGGATTTCCTCTTCCCTTTTTCCATCACCTTCGATCCTCCATTTAGTGTGAAGTATTTTTCAGTTTTATGCTGTTACCTATGTCGAAGACGGATTATCTTTGCGAGTCATGAACTGAACGTAAAATTTGCTGAGGTCACACGATAAAAAAGACTTAAGGAGAAGGCCATCTTCTTCAGAATCCACGATATGTAGTGGACGGATAATTCAATAGTATCTGCTTGATATCTTTTGGGGGACCTGTTTGATCACGAGCTCCAATGATCATATTCATGACGCATATTATAGACATATATAGTAGTCACACTGGTATAGGAAATATCTTTCGTGATCACTTGATCATCCGAAAGGGAAAATTCGTAAACTATGTATACATACATATTAATAGCTCCAAAAAATTTCATTTTCCGCGTACTTTATATCTTTTGAATTCTAGAAGCCCATTCTCTCGCATGGCTTGGCTCAATGGAGGCGTTGGTATTAAGATCTCCGCTGAAACCAAAACTACAAACACTTCCGAAATTAAGCCTAATCCATAATGCAATTGATGAATTAAACCAAAAAGAAACTAGGCCAGAAACAAAGATACAGAACAAAAAACAATCGAGAAACTACTATGGACCAAATCAGGCATTAAAACCACACTCGCAATCTAGAAGGAGTTCACAAAGTGGAGGGATAAGAGGGAAGAGAAAGATGAGGAGAAGACAAAGACGAAGAAGAAAGGGAAGAAGAGCTAGGATGGGGCGGACTAAAAGTCGAAGAAGGGGAAGAGTAGAATGGATTTCTGAGAAACAGGCCTACGGTTAAGATTAGCTAGTTTGGCAGTATTGGTACTTGTGTGAGGAGGAGGAGAAGGAGAACAGGCAGTTCAGAGGCAGTGTGATATTACCATAGACTACGGTCTGCATGTAATTGATGAATTAGAAAAAAAAACCTTAATCCATATGAACGAGTGATAAATCATGACCACAAAACACCGATATTTTTTGTTTCATTCATTAATTGCATGCAGTCTTTCGGCTATGGCAATAGCTCTGATATTACTCACTCAGTGGCTTGTGCCTACTTGTAATTACTAGACAAAATTTCTACTAGCAATGGGAATGAAGTAGTTCTTTAATTATGACAAGTAACATGCCAATATTTCGGTAGATTTATGGATTGGAAAGATTAGGACCGGCATGTATACGCGTGGTCGAGGAATACGCGCGTGTGCTTGTTTTCTTGCTGCAAAAAAATATCTCGCTCGTGTATGCTGCCGCCACCTTACTCTAACGTCTCTTAACAACTACATGTACGTGTGGATAGTTTCAATCACCGGTATTGACCGCACTTCACCACAAGCCCCCATACAAAATCGTCATCGTTAATTCCCTGTAATGTCAGCCTTTGTCTGCCAAATAGCTAACTGTCTTAGGAGGTTATATAGCACGCTTATTTCCCACTTACACGTCAATTCATCCATAATATCTGTCCACCTATAACGGCTCTCTTCATCAATGATCATATGAGACAAAGTGTCACCGCGCAACTCGTCGGCTAAAACCTAGCGGGGGGCTGTGAGATTTAGAACCCAGGAGACAGTGTTTTCGTATCAGGTTTGGAAGGGGTTGGATAAGTATAGAGAGGTTGGTAAGCTGTTTATTTAGCCCTCTAGATACTCATGAGCTTTAGTACTAGAATGAAATAACTTGAGTTTATTCTAAGCCAATTGACCCCAAGTAAGTTGATAAATTGAGTTCGATCTTTGCGGATGGTCGTCAAGGGCCAGGCCCAAGGGACTTTGGTCAGCTCTTTATATATAATTGAAAATCTACTATGAATAAATAGTCCAACACCAAGTGGTTCGTGCACTTTTACGTTCTACGCGTGCTATAGTACTCTTTATTTAAAAACTCCACCTCTCGCGTAATTGAGGTAAGACGAGTGATAATATATGATCACAGGTTTTAGTCCGTTACTGCATCAGCTCCCTCTCCATAGTCTGCGCACCTCCCTCCATAAGCTTGACATAAACTTCCTTGTTGTCTATATGGCAGAAATCTTATAAACCAAATTGTTTAAACTTTACTTACTGTTTCGAAATTACTGACGTAGAGCAGAAAGAATCACTCTCTCAGAGTAAAGTGAGAACTAAGAATTTCTCTATTATTATAAAATTAAACCTCATACACCGGCGGCCTAACCTAGAATTCTACGTGTAGCGGTAGGTAATAAGTGATAGACCGGGCTGAGACAGAGTGATACCTGTTTTAGGCAAAAACGCCATTAAAATACGGCGTTTATAGGTATAACTGTATCTCAGGGCGTTCCATCACTTACTACCTAACGCTGTACATGGTTGAGACGGTTTCTGGATTTATGTACCTCGTCGAGAAAAGATTCATTTTTGCAATATATGGCATAAGTACGAGTCTTCAAACATTTGGTGGAGTTCGAAAAGAGCAGCAGAAAAGAGTGGTTGAGGTTGTGTTGCAAAGGCGCATACACAATCCAAATACTTGCATGGCCAAATGTCATTTTTATGGGCCTCCGACCAATAGTAAGCCCTCGCAGGCAATCATAGCCGAAATGGGTTCGCTGTAGAGTACTCGCATATCCCCAACCCCCGGTACATGTATCTCCTAGACAATGAAAGTTCTCGAGTATTGGACAATTGAAGATAGGGAAATACATACATGTTCACGTGAGAAGGTAAGGGGCGCTCTGCAGTGAAAATCTTGGTATGTATTTCTGCTGCGATTCTTTCTTTCCCCTCTTTTAATTCTTACCAACTCCTCCCACGCTCAAGCTCTTAAGATCTTGATATCAACATGCACATATATATACACACCAGTCACCTATATAAACAGCTCTCGTCTTTAACACAATCAACAGGCGCTTAACCTCAACTATTCCATTATAGGGGCCAACGAAGGCCAGCTACTCCGACAGGGTGAATTATGTACCTCTTCTGACGCAAGAAGTATCGCCGAAGTACATACAAGTACGCTTTTTATCCTGGACCTGGTCTAACTACTAGTACCCGCCCCCTGTTATAGCCCCTACCCCTGCACACTCCGCTGACTCCTCTAGCATCATGTACAGGAAACGAACTATCCTCCATATAACAAAGCCCGATGGCTAGGAACCAAAGACAACGTGGTGGAGTGGTTAACACGTTCGCCTGCTATTACAGGTCCTTGAAAGAGGCATGTAAAGTTCAGCGGATGCCTTCGGGCGCGCAAGTTCGAATCTTGTCGTTGTCGATCTATATTTTTTGCCCTCCCGATAATAGATGGGAGGCATGAACACATCGGATACATATCGATAGATATGTGCCCACTCAATGTCTACATGGAGATTGGAACACCGAATTTACTGCGTGGCCAGTTACCGAGAGAGCCCCACCTACAAACAAGGCCGGTATTGTAGTTTCAATTTCTGCATTTCCTTTGGTGGCTTTGGTACATGGAGGCTTTGTTGGGTGCAGCTATTTATACCTACAATTAAAAATTAACACTTTATTTAGCCAATGCGACCCAGTATCGCCTTAGCACGTCTATTACAGAAAACTACGGACTTTATCATCGAATAGAGGTAGATACAGGCCACTTCATACCAAGGCCTAGGTGTAACTACTTAGGTCTGCACATTACATATCAATCAGTATGACCTACTTCCTCCGTGTCGTAAATAAATACTAAATAACAAAATAAAAATAAAAATAAAGAAAACAAAACATCGCTCCTGAGACGCTAATATGCCAAACAACCCGACCCCCGCGTAAACGGGGTATATAAAAACAAAATTTGACGGGAACTTTTAATTCACCGCCCCCGCTTCCGATGTCAAGCTTACTATACCGTCGCGATCAGATAGATCGCCCTGGGTGGTCTCTTCTCTGTTGCTGCCAGCCCTACTGCTGCGTTTGCCGCGCTCTGTGTCGGTACTTATGCTACTGCTTGCTCTGCTGCCGGAGTTCCTGTTAGGGCCTGCGATGCTGATATTTCTTTCTAGCAGCCGCACAGCGTCGCTTCCACTAGTGCCGCATCTGACGGCTTCCAAGCTGGCACCCGTGGGCCTTGTTCCGGAAGGGATGCTATTGCTACTGCCCCAGCGTCCTAGGCCGATGCGTGTAACATCAGGGAGACTTAGTCCACCGCTGCTACCCATCTCCTCCCACACTGCGCCTGGCCCGTCCCCAAGGTCACCGCTGCTACTGGTGACGGGCGAAACAACTACTTCGACACGGGAAATCTCGGATGTAGAAGAGGTGCTTTTGTGTGATGATTCTAGGCCAAGGGAAGGGCGTTGGAGCCGTGGTTGTAGACCGAGAAAGCGACCGATTTCTTCCTCCTTTCGAACTTCCACGTCAGAATCAGAGTCGTCATCGTCGGTAATGGCAAATGCTCTATCACTCCATGCACCGGATGAAGTAGTTGGGGAACGGGCCCTATTTCTGATCGATTCAATTTCTCGTTCCACATCAAGGTGCGTGTCATTCTCTAATCTTTGGTCCTGGAATTCTGGTACAGGGGTCTGCTGGCCATCTCCAGCATCCCCGGTAATGTCATCTTCTTCTGGTGTGGCGGCACGGTCTTCTTTGCCTTCTTCTTCGTCTGCGGTACGAGCACTCCATGACTCTCCAAAGTGAGTTTCGACGACGTGGCGGACGACTGGCCAACCATAGGCATTGGCGAACATACGGCGGACAATCATGTTGTTATGTGCGTCTGGCTCTAGACTAACTAAAACTTTCCTCCATGCCATGTCTGCGTGGTAAGCTCGTGCGATCTTTTCCTCGACTTTCATAACGCTGTCCTTATCAATGGTAGGAGATGGAGGTGGAGGACAATCGCTAGCGGAGTAAACACGATCATGGAAAATGGTTCGGGGGCGAGATGAAGGGTCAATGAGAAATTCCACAGATGGGAGAGGAGGATTGAGCACGTGATTTGCCGCTTCGAGTAAGGTAGTACGTGGGGGCGTATTGGGGACCGAGTCTAGATCTGGTGGTTGTGGGAAACTGGGAGTAGTCTTGAGCTTGTTTTTCTTTTTAGAAGATGAGGAAGATAAGTCATCGTCATGAGGATTAGTTTGTGAACGGCGGTAAATTTTGGACGATTTAGAGTCAGAACCCTTACTTTTACTCGATGCACTGGGACGGAACAATGTCATGAGAGTAGTAAGGGCATTGGGAGTGGTGGAGCCTTTGGCGGAAGAGGGAGGTTCATTTGAGGACGACTGCGAGGCAGCCTTGGATTCCCGTGTTGTGGGCTCACTAGTCAGAGGCGCCTCTGTGATGGGATTATCCTCATCCTCATCACTTGCGGGAATGAGGGGGGTTTTCCCTCCTGTTTCTTTCCCTGCCTTGCCTTTCTCTCTAAATGCTGGGGAAACAGGGCTGGTTACTGCACTATCGGTCCTACTTTTTGTAAGGGTTGGAGAGTATACACTTCCACGCGGACTGGTGCTCCCACCGTTTATAAGTTGGCCCCAGCCCCAACCAACAAGGCTTTGAACAGCATTGTTCTCTCTTCGTGCTTTCTCAACTTTTCCAAGCCCCCTCCAGTCTAGGAACAACAAACAGCTTGTTCGTAAGGGGACGATTCCATCATTGACAACATTTGCGTAGACAGTCCTATTGCGGAACTTCTTCAACACTTCATGTGCTGGGCCTGTCGGTAAAATCCTCAACAAGGGTTTGCTTGTATCTGTCGGGCGTGCCGCTACCGCCGGCTTTGCCGTGAAGGCTGAGAAGGCACTTGGTGCACGCCAGGTCAATCCTAAGTCTTGCCCTGTACGGCCGACAAGACCAAAGTCAAGTGCGAACTTGACATACATCGGATTTTCGTTACTAAGGCCTAGAAACGGAGTGGCTAAAGCGACAAAGGAGATCGGCTTTATCTCGGTAAAGAAGTTGGGAGAGTGTGCGTGGATATATGCAATAGCATAAGTCTGCACTAGACCACCGAGGGAATGTCCAATAAATGAGATGGATGTAATTTTGTATGGTGGCACCTCATCATCGCTGTCGTGGTCAGCCAAAGAAGCAAGCTGAGCGAACGGCGTCAAATGTGGATGATGGTGTGTAGGTCGTTTACTCAGCTTGTTAGGCCCAGAAGGAGGCGGAGGGGAGGTGCTGGGGTGTACAAGATGAAGGACATAACGGGCAAGGCGGCGACCGAGATATTTTATTCCCCGTTCAGTGCGGCAAACATTATCATGAAATCCTCGGACAATCACTTGCTCTCGATCCTCTTCCGCGTTCTCCTCCTCCACTTCGCTATCTGTCAGTATCTTGCCACTTTCTTCACGTTCCCTCCGCCGCCTTTCCCGCCAAGCTATATCGCCTTTTCGTGCTTCCTCGTCGATTGCCTCCTTCATGAACAACATGTCTGCGCCAGTGTTACTGTGAAGGCCATGCGTGAGAATGACAAGATGCACCTTCTTCGTCTTTCTTTTTCTCTTCCTTCGCCGCCTTTCCTTGGCTTCATCCTGATCTTCTGGATCCAGGTATTCACCATTTTGCATACGCCAATCTTCTTCCCGGTTCCAACTCGGGAAAGGTGGGGTGTTCCACAAATCCTGTGTATCCTGAGTTTTGACCTTCAAAGCTCGACTGTAAATATCGCTATTGGACCGGTCACTAGCTATTGAGCCTGCAGTTGGGGGTCGTGGTCCAGGAAGAGTATTGTAGTTTAAACTCTTTTCGTCTCGACCTAATATAACCTCAAATCCAACCTGTGCGGTGGCAGAAAAAATAGTCTGGCTGATAACCTCTACAATCCACGTTACGCTTTTGCGTCGTAGCTTTGTATCTGCACTGATAAGTGCGTGCTGATTATACAGAGAGCGTTGACCGCCTTGTTCAAAGGCTTTACGTGGATGTGTTGAAGGATCGGGTATCGTCTCGTCTTCCTGGCAAGCAAGATTGTGTACATCGTCAATGAGACCTGAAGGGATTGGAAGTGTTGCATAAAATGAGGAGCCGGCCTTTAGTTGTGGCTCAAATCTAAGAATTTCGGACGAGGATTAGTGTTTGCCTCAACCCATCAAACATAGGTCGCACGCCGGTGGGGGGGGGAGGAATAAGGCTTGCCACTCACAGAGGAATGCCTCCTTCATCAACTAACACCGGATCTCGGTCGTCCTCTTGGGCTAACCCTTCCTTTCGACCTTCGGTTCCTGGAGTGGTCGAATTCCATGGCTCAAACTCCTGACGCCGGACCGAAACGTAGAGAGTATACGGGCCGTGTAAGTACGCGGCGCGTAGGGGTAGCGACGCGGTATTCTTTACCCGGAGATACAGCGCAGAGGGCGGAGGCAGAACACGGTCGACAGATGGTGTATAGGTAATTGTATATCGGTGGATTTCGCCAATTTTACTGACACCGCTAGTGTGCAAGAGCAGCATGGCTGCAGTGCTGCTGGTGGGGGATTATCCAAGGTAGGGGGTATAGAGTTATTCCATGCAGCCAAACTAAGGAGGCAGGGGCCAAGCTAATAATATTGTTTGCGGGGAGCAAGGCAGGCTGCTATTGATGCCGAGAGTGTTTATAGCGGGCGTATATAGGTTGTATGATAGGTGAATAGATTGAATGGGATGAAAGGGAGGCTTGGTGTTGAGAAAAAAAGGTACTTGACACGGTCACACACGTTTATTTCAGCCTCACAAATATTGATATGGACCTTTCCGGGTCACTGGCGAACCTGGTTAAAAGGTAGATGCGCACTGACCAAGTGACTGACAGTCGCCCTGTAACGAACGCTCCCATACCGAATATCTGCTGTATCGAACCACTTGGCTGGCCCCCAGCAAAAGTTTGGTCTGATGTATCGAATAATCTGCTATCGAGCGGAAAGGTGCTCAACATGTCTAATTTTATCCGGATGAGACAGCATAACCTTGCTGGTCGCTATTGATCCAGAAAATACTGTTACACTTACATGTAGATAATTTATTAGTACCTGCACAGAATTACATGTATTGTATCGCTCGGGCCGGTGAGACACGCAGAATCCAGGACTTTCTATTCAATCACGTTTCCTCGAATAATAGAAATCACTACTGAGATAGGAAGTTCTGAATTCTGCGTGTCTCACAGATGTAAAAAAAAGTCACGGTAAATTTGTAGTTGACCTGCATGAGACAGACAGCTCTTTTGAGTGTGAAAGTGGGGGGGGGATGTGATATGTGTCAGAATCATGCCATCAGATTAGACAACAGTTATCAATCAAATCTGGACAGGGTTTATGCAGGCCC